GTTAAATATAATGTCAGAAAATAAAAACAAAAATAATGGCAAGTAAACCTATGAGATTTTAATAGTAGTTTTGTGAGATCAATTTTTAGATCAACCTTGTTTTCTGTATGTATTCATGCTATATTATCTACAACAAGCAAGTATACTTTTGAGATCAGATCAGAAAAGAATTTTAATTTGTTGAGTTGACTTGAGATAAAAATTAACCAATACATTCACTGGCGACATATGATTTTCAAGATTTCTGAATCACCATGGGGATGAGAGCTTTTCTAAAACCTGGGGTTAGCACACAGGAGCCATAGGTCTGAGGCAAAGTTCAAATGGATGAGAATGGAAACGTTTCTCTGGCTTACCCAAGCTGGCCAGTCTGCCTAGAACTAATTTAAGAACATAAAGATGACATCATTGCAGGTGTTCTTTCAAAGTGGAGCATACATTTATAATGCTTCTGGCTGACAAAACTGGAAAGGAGACAAGGTTTAAAAAGCCTCAGATATTCTCTTTGTCGACGCTCACCATCTTTATCTTCAAATAAAAGTATTTATATTTCTTCTGTCTGCCCCTTGGGCTCTGGTTCTTGGTTAAGAAATGTCTCATAAATGTCAGAAGAGGAGGAAAACAGAAGGTGATGGTACAGAACGTTCTATTTTTAAGACTATAAATATTTTAACTTCTCTAAGAGACCACCTATCATGAAAACTTCAGATCTTCCTAAGTAAGTCTTATAAAAATTAACTATAAAGTTTATGACAGTTTCCAAAATCAAGTACTATATGCCAGATTGGCTTAAAGCATTTAGAAATGAACAGCCTGGATGTTTGCAAAAGGTCACATACTGGAAAAGAGTAATGTCCAATTCAAAAAGTGAAAACTAAGAGATGCTGCCAATCCAAAAATTGAATGCCCCAACTTTACTGAATTCTGTTAATAAAATCAACAGGTTGTTCCACTGTACAGGCAGGGCTACTACTTTATGCTGATAATCCAATAAGTGTTTATTAAGCACTTGCTATTTACAAAGCACTGTGGTAGACACTGTAGAGAGAACTGATAAAATATCTCAAGGAATTTAGAAGGTAACCAGGAAAAAGGACAAGTACAAAAATAAATAATAGAACTCTTACCAATTAACAAGAGCAATGAAATAACCTGATTTTAAACATAGGGCAAAAGACTTGAACAGACATTTAACAGAAGAACATGTAGGAATGGTCAGTAAGCACATGACAGGTTGCTCAGCACCATTAGTCATCAGAGAAACGGAAATTAAAACTACAGCAAGATGCCATTTCACACCCACTAGAGTAGCTCAAATAAAAATGATTGACAACGCCAAATGTTGGCCAAGATGCAGAGAAACCAGAACTATCTTATGTTACTAGGGGAGAGTAATGGTACAACCATGTTGAAAATCTGTTTGGCAATTCTCTTAAAGCTACCCTATGGCCCAGCAATTCCATTTCTAGGTATGAATACTTACCCAAAAGAAATGAAAACCTATGTCTACAGAAAGCGTATGCAAGAATGTTTATAGCTGCTTTGTTTACAATAGCCTCCTTCCCCACAAAGACAAATGTCCATCAACAGGAGGATGGGTAAACAAACTGTGGTATAGTCATACAGTAGAATACTATTGAACAATCAAATAGAACAAGTTACTAATAGGTGCAACAACATGGGCACATCTCAAAAACTCCACTTTGAGAGACAGAAGTCACACACACAAAGAATACATGTTGGAAGAATTCATTTGTTTGAAACTCTAGAACAGGCAAACCTGTTCTATGAGATTAAAGCTGTGGTGATAGAAGTCAAAAAGTGACTGCCTCCAAGATTGTGGGGGTGGATCAACAATTCACTGGAAAGGGACAGAAGAGGAAGTTCTAGGGTGGTGGATGTGTTCTGAATCTTGATTGGGATGATGGTTACACAGGTATACAATTGTCTAAACTTATCAAACTAAGCGTGTAAGATCTGTGCATTTTGTTATACTTAAGTTACACTTCATTTTTTAATACTCAGAAAAGGTAAAAATAGAAATAGTAGACATTTGACAGTTGTGAGTTTGCATTGCAAATACTACAAAAATCCTCAAATTTGTTAATATCACCATAGAACAGGACTTCACAATAAAATGTTCACTTTGGCAAGAAAGGGAGGAGGTTGGGATGATCGTGGGATGATGAAGCCACAGTGAGGCCAGGTGCTGGGTGAAAACAGGAACCCACCTCTGGGGCCCATTCCTTTAGTGCCTGAGACTCAAAGTTGGGCCTCAGAAAAATTGTAACTCATCACATATCATGAACCTCTACACTAGCTTACAAAGGCTCAAAAGGGGGGATTTTAAATCCAAAAAATGTAACTACTGTACAAGATAGAATATTAGAAACACTAGAAGGAAGTTACAGAGAATATTTTAAATGAGGTCTAAAATGATAGCCAAATCTCACCTCCTGGGTAGTAAAACCACATTGACTCGTATAGTCACCACTCCTCGTATGAGTCTGGTCCCGTCCAAAAGGGACGGAGTTTAAATTGGTTCTTTGATTTGAAACCAACACATGGAAAGCCCTACTGGGATATTTAGTAACTACATTAAGACACACCCCTTAAGAACCTTTAAACAAAACTCTACCATGTATCTGGTGTAGTTCTGCTCAGGATACCTTGTAGGAATATAAATGACAAAAATGTAAAATTGCCTTAGAAAAGGGTTTGCACATTGCTATGATCCAAATGTTGGTGTCTTCCCAAAATTCGTATGTTGGAACTTAATGCCTGATATAGTTTGGCTGTGTCCCTACCCAAATCTCATCTTGAATTATAGTTCCCATAATTCCCACATGTGGGAGGGACCCATTGGGAGATAACTGAATCATGAGGGCAGTTTCCCCAGACTGTTCTCGTGGCAGTGAAAAAGTCTCACAAGATAGGATGGTTTTATAAGGGGAAACCCCTTTTGCTTGGCTCTCATTCTCTCCTGCCTGCTGCCATGTAAGACATGCCTTTCGCCCTCCACCATGATTGTGAGGCCTCCCCAGCCACGTGGAACTGTGAGTCCATTAAACCTCTTTTTCCTTATAAATTACTCAGTCTCGGGTATATCTTTATCAGCAGGTGGAAATGAACTAATGCAATGCCCAGAGTGATAGTATTAAGAAGTGGGGCCTTTTGGAGGTGATTTGCTCTTGAAGGCTCTGCCCTCATGAATGGGATTAGTGCCCTTATAAAAGAGGCCTGAGGGGGCCTCCTTGCCCTTTTGCCATGTGAGGACACAGCAACAAGGCAGAGAACAAGCCCTTGCCAGACACAAATCTGCCTTGATCTTGGACTTCCCAACCTCCAGGACTGTAAGCAATAAATTTCTGTTGTTTATAAATTACCTAATCTAAGGTATTATGCTATAGCAGCCCAAATGGATGAAGACACACATATTAGGCAATAATTATTTCAGTTAATCCTGATGTGTTTACATTGGTCTTCAACATTTTCCCTGCCCTAATATTTGCAAGGAGCACAGTAAGTATCTGCCCATTAGCACAGGTGACTCCATAAGGCAGTGGTGTTAAAAGGAGGGGAATGGGCCGGGCGCGGTGGCTCAAGCCTGTAATCCCAGCACTTTGGGAGGCCGAGGCGGGTGGATCACGAGGTCAGGAGATCGAGACTATCCTGGCTAACATGGTGAAACCCCGTCTCTACTAAAAATACAAAAAATTAGCCGGGTGTCGTGGCAGGCACCTGTAGTCCCAGCTACTCAGGAGGCTGAGGCAGGAGAACGGCAGGAGCCCGGGAGGCGGAGCTTGCAGTGAGCCGAGATCACGCCACTGCACTCCAGCCTGGGAGACACAGCGAGACTCCGTCTCAAAAAAAAAAAGGAGGGGAATGGTATAAAGATGTTCCCTGGTTGGTGGCAGGGGTAGGGGGTATGATATATAGTTTCCTTCCCCACATTACTAATTCAATAAGGAATTAAATTACTAATTCAATAAGGAATTAAATTAATCAATTTAAGATGAGAATCACTAATTCAATAAGGAATTAAATTAATCAAATACCAATATCCTTATTATGGCTTTTGTTTTTGCTTTTGGTTTTTTGCTCAGGTTCAAGGGAATCTTTGATTTTTCTCATTCTTCCCAAGATGTTATATGGTCTGTCCCCCACATTCCTCCTTTGCCCCAGCCTCCTACTTTCTCCCTCCCTTAAGACTCCAACTGCACTGGCCTCCTTGCTCTTTCTTGAACATGTCAGATGCTCCTGCCTTAACACCTTTGTAGTGACTGTTCCACTTACCTGAACCACCTTTCCCAGATACCCCAATGACTGATTCCTTTACCTCTTGCACACTTTCTCATAAAGGTCATTCTCTTAGAAGGGCCAACCTTGACCATCCCTATTTAAAATTGCAATCTGTCCTCTCACAAGCAAGGCCTATGCCTTCCTTCCTTTCTCTGCCCTCCTTTCTTTCCAGTGCACTCATCACCTTTGACATACTGTGACTTTTTTAATCTTTTTGTGTTTATTGCCTTATTGTGTTATATGTATTATCTGTTATATTATTATCTTTTATTTTTAGTTTATTGCCTGCTCCTCCTGCTACAATGTAAGTGCTCTATGGCAGGTGTCTTTACTCGTTTTATTAACTTCTCTTAAGCACGTACGACTTGACCTGTCACACAGCAGGCATTTCAACAAATGTCTATCAAGTGAACAAATGTATTATTTTCTATGCTTCTCTAGATAAATACAGCTGACCCTTGAACAATGCCGAGGTAAGGGGTGCTGACCCCATACACAATCAAAAATCCATATACGACTTTTGACTCTTTCAAACTTAACTACTAATAGCCTACAAGTAGTCTTACCAATAACATGAACAATCAATTGATATGTATTTTGTATGTCATCTATATTATACACTGTATTCTTACAATAAAGTAAACTAGAGGACAGAAAATACTATTAAGAAAATCATAAGGAAGAGAAAACGTACTTACTATTCAGTAAGTGGGAGTGGATCATCATAAAGGTCTTCATCCTTGTCATCTTCATGTTGAGTGGGCTGAGGAAGAGGAGGAGGAGAAGGAGTTAGCCTTGCTGTCTCAAGAGTGGCAGAGGTGAAAAAAAATCTGCCCAGAAGTGGACCCACAGAGTTTAAACCTGTGTTGTTCAAGGGTCAACTGTATAACCATGATATTAGCATTGTGAACATTCTCTCTTCATCTCTTCCTGCCACCTACCCAACTCTCCACTCAAGGGAGATTTATAAGTAAGATTTTGAACACTGAAAATCAAATTAAGTGGTCTGGAAAAGCTACAATGGCAAACGGGGGAAACAATTTGGAAAGCAACCCTTAACCCTACATTTTCCTATCCTATGAAATCTGTGAATAGTTGTATCTACACAAGGCCAACGGCCCCAGCTCTATCCTCTAATCACCTTTTTCTTCTATTTCCCTAATGTAACACTTACCCAGCCAACAAGTAAGGAAATAGATTAGAAACCTTTTGAGTGACTCTTTAGTGAACATGGACTCTAATCAATCAGAAAAGTCACATGGGATTAGGTCATTGGCATTAGTTTTTCATGTATGGTAAATACATTGGTTTATCTCATTTGAAAGGAATAGGCACATTCATGTCATCTTAAGAACTGGGGTTTTATGATTTATTGAAGGAGCCATCTAGTAATAAGTTATATAGGGGTAGGACAGAACCTAATGTAGTACAGGCTCCATAGAGGACAGACTTGGGAGGTTGTTTAGGACTGAAGCTGACTCTGGGCTCCATGTTAGCTTGTTGCCCATTAACATCAGGAATTCTTGGATCTTCACTATGGCACTCCCATTGGCATGGATCCCCTACTGTCTGTTGATTTCTGCTCCTCTCTAGGCATCTTCTTTTTTCTCCTCTTGTACCAACTGACTCCATTCGTGTCTCCAGGAGAAAGAATGTGACCATACTTGCTAATTACCACGGTCCATGCTTAGGGCTCTTACCCCATGGCCCCTTGTAGGTCATCAGTCAACCCACAAAGTGGCTACCTTTGGTTTGGGTAGGACCATTAATCAAGGGGAACCCAGTAGGCTTGCGTTTCACCATAATCATAGCCAACCCCTCTTTGAGACCATTCCCCGCAGGACCCCTGGGATCATGTCAAGCTCAATACATTGCCCCAGGTACCCAGAATGCCAGTCACTGTGTCTTTGTCCCCACTTAGAACACATTACCCCTGATCTTTTCTTACCAGCATTCTAACCCTCTAACCTTCATTGTGGGGAGGTATTGACAGCTTAATTCAAAACAATCTCACCACAAAACAACCTGCTGTTTTCCAGAAACTCCCCAGCTCCCAGACTAAGGCATTCAGGACAATCCAAACTCCCATTTCCACAAAATCCAGAGTGGATTTTCATAAGCATCAGGAACACTGAAAGGGCCTGTAGGCTCCACAGGGCACCTACATTTCCTGGGGCTTCCCTCAGAAAGAAGGTGGAGGGTAAATGTAGTGGCCATGTATAAGGAAAGGAAAACGAAGGTTTCCAAACCTGCATGAAGCCTAGAAAGTGCCACTGCGTGTAGCCACACCCACAAATATTTTTCTTTGGTAAAATTACAGGCAGAGGACCCTGCCAATTCAGAAAACAATCTGTTGGCTGACAGTGCCTTGCATTCCACTCTGTGCAGTCCGCACTGCACAGAGAAAGCAATTTGGAATTAATAGTATTCCTTGATACTTGTCTTCAACAAATACTTGCTGAATGCCTACTATGCACCAAACTCCACGGTCAGGAGCAGGTCCAATCCTGTTGGTGTTTTTTATTTCAGTCTCAGCTCTGTCAACTTGCTTGAAGCTGCAAGGAATTTAGTGCTCGGGGACAGGCCTCCACAAGTCCAATGAAGTTGGCTGCATTTCTGATTCACTTCTCTATCCAAGAATAAAAATAGGGGCTGATCCACTCAAACAATCCTGGGAGATTAAAAGATTTTGAAGCCAAAACAAAACCCGAGATAAGCTGCCTACCTGTGCGTGAGGAGGCAAGTCAGTTCCAGGAGCCAGCAGCATCTGTCCGGGAAGGACTCCCCGCAGCCTGATGGGACTTGTCCCGGCGACCTCTTCCCTCCTGAGGTCCTGTTACCCGTGTGCGCGTCGGGGCAAAGCCCGCTGTGCCACCGGCCTCCTGCTCACATGGTGCTGTCCTGTCCTTTTTTGCTTGGTAATTTCCAGTTAAAGCTCAGCTGTTTGTGTTTTTTGTTTGTTTTGTTTTGTTTTTTTGTCTACTCCACTCATCACAAATACCTTTAATAAGCAAATTTCCCTCCTCCATTTGCTGAATTTTATGTCTTCTCTGTTCCTTGATGAGAATTGAATGGGATCATTCCACAACTTTGACAGCGATTTATTGTCCTCTCAAGGACTCACAGAGCACAGCCCAGAAAGGGCTAACAGTGCCGGCGTTGTAGCAGGACCTCCTCTGCTGGAGACAGCACAGTGCGTGAAACCCCCTAGGACCACCAGCCTGCAGAGGGTGGTCAGTGTGTGTGCAGTGAAAGAGCAGGGATTCCGATGTTGAGCTGAGGTGAATGTACAGAAGGAAAAGCTCTCCAGAAGGTGCAGGTAGGAACAGGAGTAAGAGTCCCTCTAAGCAGTCTTTCCTTCTGTGCCTTCCACCACCTAAACATCTGGAAGCAGACACCTGGACCACCTGCACCTTGGCAGAGGGAAGGAGCTTGGCCAAGAGAATAAAAAAGGACCAGGCGGCCGGGCGCGGTGGCTCACGCCTGTAATCCCAGCACTTTGGGAGGCCGAGGTGGGCAGGTCACTAGGTCAGGAGATTGAGATCATCCTGGCTAACACGGTGAAACCCCATCTCTACTAAAAATGCAAAAACTTAGCTGGGCGTGGCAGTGGGCACCTGTAGTCCCAGCTACTCGGGAGGCTGAGGCAGGAGAATGGCGAGAACCCGGGAGGCGGAGCTTGTAGTGAGCCGAGATCGTGCCACTGCACTCCAGCCTGGGCAAGTAAGCGAGACTCCGTCTCAAAAAAAAAAAAAAGGACCAGGCACACTTCACTGTAAGCCGCGTCCCCAGGCTTCTTGTTTTCCCTACCTGGGGAGGCAATGACAATAATAGACTTCAGAAGTTAATTGACTTAATGAGTAGAACTCCTTCAATCCATTGAAGGCCTCAGTAGATCAACAACAACAGAAAAAGTAGAGGGAGAGAAAATTCTTTCTCTCTGCCTAATTGCTTGAGCTGGGTTATTGGGTTCTCCTGCGCTCAAACTGCCTTACACCTTTGGTTCTCGGTTTCAGTCCTGTGGACTTGGACTAGAACTCACACCATCAGTTCTGGTTCTCAGGCCTTCAGAATCAAACTGGAACTGCACCAGCAGCCTTCCTGGGTCTCCAGCTTGCAGACAGCAGACTGCGGAACTTCTCAGCCTCCATAATCACATGAGTCAATTCCTTATAATAAACCTCGCTCGATCGATTGATCGATCGATAGATAGATCCCTTTACAGCTGGGGAGGGTCTTCCTAGAGGAGGGTGCACGAACATAAAGGGCAGCCCTAGTGCTGGATCCTGGCCCTTGCAGGTGATACAGCTCTGATGAGCAGAGGAAGACCAGGGTTCTTCGTCTCCAGTCAAATTAGATAAAATGACCTGGACATACATGGAGTGGTTTTAAGGAGCAGAGAGTTTAATAGGCAAGAAAGATGGGAGAAGAAAGAAGGAAGAGGCTCCCATGTACAGACACAGAGGAATGGGGAGCTCCGAAGCCAAGAGAGGAGACCCCATGTGCCACGGAAAAATGGCTGCTTATATGAATAGGCTGGAGGAGGTGATGTCTGATTTGCACAGGGCTCAGGGGATTGGTTTGACCAGGCATGTCACTCACGTAGCCTGCAGAAAAAAACTGGCCCTGTCATCCCAGCCTTTTAATATGCAAATGCAGGGCACCATGATGTTCTCCACACGTGGGGGTATGTGGGGGCGGCCATGGTCATAAGCACACACATACCCCACCTCCCAGAGAAAGCACAGCTATCCTGTTTGGCTTTACCGCTTCTCAAGCAGCCACACGGGAGAGTGGGAAGACAACTCACAAACCTCTTGTGTTTGTTTCAGGTTTTGAAGAGTCAGCTATAAGCTATATTGTTTTGCTTTGAAAACACGCTGGATTTAGAACCAGCTATAGTCCTTTAGCAACCTCTCTGCCCCTTATTATCCACGTGGCCTTTGGCAACCTCCCTGAGCCTCAGTTTTCTTGTCCTCCCCCACTATGGGGATGTCAGCGGCATCTCCACGCGATAACATACTGGAAAATGCTGCAAGTCCACAGTACTGGGTAGAGAGAAATTTATTGTTATTATTGTTGTTCTCTTTCATCCCAAATGGACAGCTTGATCTTTCCCTTAGGGAAATGCTTTCAAATAAAAAGTGATTATGTTTTGGAGACTTAGCAAAATGGATTTGGGTAACTTCCATCAGGAGGGAGGAAGACAGCCAGTGGCCTTTTGCTATGAGACCACAGGTTTGAAGGAAGGCGCCGCAGAAGGCCCCTGCCCCGCACACAGCTCTGGTTATCCACAAAGCACCCAACAAATGCTCACTAGTGGCCTATAACACTAAGAGCTTCTGTGCTGGCCCTCCCTAGGCGTCTGCCATTCTCTTTGTTTTTTGGCGGGGGTGGGGGATGGAGTCTCGCTCTGTCGCCCAGGCTGGAGTGCAGTGGCGTGATCTCGGCTCACTGCAAGCTCCGCCTCCCGGGCTCCTGCCGTTCTCCTGCCTCAGCCTCCTGAGTAGCTGGGACTACAGGTGCCTGCCACGACACCCGGCTAATTTTTTGTATTTTTAGTAGAGACGGGGTTTCACCATGTTAGCCAGGATGGTCTCCATCTCCTGACCTAGTGACCCGCCCACCTCGGCCTCCCAAAGTGCTGGGATTACAGGCATGAGCCACCGCGCCTGGCCACCTCTGCCATTCTGCTGTCTATGTGCCTCATCACACAAAACCCCACCGTAGCCCTGAGCAGTCCCGGGTACACAAATGCCCCGCTTACTTGGGAAGACGCATCTTAGCAGAGTAAGGCCTTTTCTACTTCCCCACAGCCAGGAAGACAAAGGATGAGGCCCTGGAGCCCCCGTGCCTAACATGGTGCTGTGCTGCCAGTCATGAAGGCATCAGTGCATGCACACCCTCACTGCATGGGCGGGGACCCTGAGCCTCCAAGAGCAGAAATGATTTGCCCAGGCCACCCTGGCAGTCAGCGACCTGAGACCAGTTCCTACTCCTAAATCAAGGTCCCTTGGCTACTCGGACCTTCTCAAGAAGAAATTCTTGTTCAAATGGACTTTTCCCAAGTGCAGCCTGCTGTGTGCTCCAGGGCAGCCCTCTGACGGTGATCAATTAACTCCCGGTTCTTCGTGTCAGGTGATTTACCCGACAGTCAGCTAATCTCACCTTTCCTAGACTCTCCCTTTCTTGGCCCACGTGCTGCCCAAGTGACACACTCCGTGCTGTAAATGAGGATGTCACGGTGTGTTCTCAGGTTTTACTGGAAGTAGAGCCCTTAACAAACAGTCTAGTAAACAGCCAGCCCAGGCAGTGCACACGTCAGCAGCCCTGCTCCAGGGCTCCCACGTCAGCAAAGGCGGGGCCCAGGCCTGGAAGCCAAAGCCCTTTCCAGCAGCCCTCCTGTCACTGGGCCAGCCCCGCCTGCCTGCTGGCTTCTGGAGCTCCCACACTCAAAACTGGGATCTGGGAGTTGTTCTCCCAGGTGACCACATTCCCTTCAGGGGTTGTGCAGAAAAACTGAACCAGAATATGCATAAAGATGCAGAAAATTGAGACTCTAAACTGAAATGGCATGAATGGTGGCTGGAACGTTTATTTGGTGCCTCAGTAACACAGGTCTCCTGTCTACTCCTGTCTACACTGGTCCCATGTAAGGTCTCCTTGCCAACTCATGACAAAGAAGAATGGTTTGGTTGTAAAATCACAGTTCAGCAACAGTCCACAGGAGGACTAAATAATTTATTGAGAGAAAGAAGTGAAAACTCTTCATTAGAAATGTGAGGATGGGTGCTCAAATTGGTTTTTTAAAATGTCGGCGAGAACAAAAATGATGACACTTAAGCACTGAGGCTACTACAATGTTTTGATAAAGGGTGAAAGGCGCCTTCTCCCTTTTATCAAAAAGTTCCCCATCGTTGGCCCTGCAGAGGATCATGCTGATGGGAAACGGGCCGTTAAGTAGGACCTGAAAGTGAATGTCGTCGTAAGTTCCAAATCAAACTACCACTAACAAATAACAAGTAATCACAACAACGACTATTTATTTAGCCTTGTTGAGACTCAGAAACCAATACCCCAACATAGAGGGTTTTAACATGCCGAATTCAGGAAGCCTTAAGGTCTCTCTGACCTTCCCCCAAACACCCCGTCTTTCCCAAAGAAGCTGAAGTTTCTTTATCTGTCTAAGATCCAGACCTTCCAAGGAGAGCAATTATTCTTTCTTCTCCTTCCCACTTATCTTATCTATGGCGGAAAAGAAGACCAAGATGTGACCTGACATTACAAGGTTATTTCTGTTCTCCCATCCAGTCATTCTCCCTAACAATCATTTATTGCCCCTCAATAGAATTCCTCTTCTTCCCATTCCCGTAACCTGTTTTACCAGAATCCAAGGCCCCATACATTCTGTAACCCCAAAATGGTACATAAGTTTCTGTAACTCATTGGGAAGTTGGGGCTTCATTTTGAAGGCTCCTGCATGAACACATTAAATAAGTTTTATGCCTTTTCTCCCATTAATCAATCTGCCTTACGCCCCTCAGCAAAACTTCAGAGGTCAAGAGCCTGTGGCCCCCACAGCCTTAACCCACTAAAATGTAAGCACTCAGAAGGCAAGGACTCTGTCTTGTTCCCAAAGGGATCTCTAGCCCAAGACAGGCCTTGGCACATGGCAGCTCAATGCATATTTTGAACAGGCGAGTGCGTGTCGTCGTTCTGCCAGAGACTGTATTTCACACTATGTGTCATTATTAAGTCTTTTACGCCCCACGAAACAGATGTGATTCCCATTTTATAGATGCAGAAAGGGAGGCTTGGGGAGGCTAGGAAACTTGTCCAGGGGTTCTCAGCCGTACAGTGGGAGCGCTTGGCTAGGCAGCATGGCCAGTCTGCTTCCAGAGCTTACGCAACTAACCATGACATCACCCTCACCTCCCTACGTGCTACCATCTTCAGCCTAGGTCTCCAGACAGGTCCATGGGTCCCTAAGTCCTCTCTTTGATTGGGAAGGGAATCCCAGCACCCCTGGAATTGCATGCACAATGGCGTGTATCTGTGCTTATGGAGGCTGTGCTGGAGACAGGGCCCGTGGTCTTCAGATTTTCAGAGAAACCTGGGATCAAAAAGAGTTTCAGAATCACTGTCCTGGTTTCAGCACTGAAAATCCCACGTCCTGGGATGACTGCTGTTGGTAGCAGGCAGCATAGTCCCCAAAGGAGGAGAAGATTGAGTTTACATTCCTGGCGGTTCTCCTATCTCAGCAGGAGGAAAAAGGCTATGGGAAGTGGGAACAGGGTACAAAGCTCAGAAACGGACTTGGAGAAGGCTGAAGAGGAAGTCCTGGGACAGAATGAGGTGATTGTGACAGCAGCGCTTCAACGTTCTCGCCGGAGGTTCCAACGCCAGATCCCTGCAGAAGGCACCTGTCTTCCCACTTTCCCTTTAGTTGACGCCACCGTTTCTGGGACAAGTTGAGGAAGGAGCACCAAGCAGTAGAAGTTTCTGAGGAGTGAAAGGGTGGCCAGAAAGACCCCCTCACCCAAAATTCTGTGCTGATGTTTAGGTGAGTACCTAGGTCATGCGGGGTGATGACATCTGACATTGTGCTGGCATCATCCACAGTTCATGAGCGATTCTCCCTCCCTCAGCCACTGGGTGGTCCCTGGGGTGGGGGTCCCCAGGAACCCCCAAGAACAGGCCCCGCTGCAGACCAGCAGTTCTGGACAGGTCAGATGCTGAGGGCCACAGTGAGTAGCTTGCAGGAACATCCTGGAAGTGTCCCAAAGCCAACACAGTGTCCCAAAGCCAACACAGTGTCCCAAAGCCGACAGTCAGGAACATGAACTGTGTGTTGGACGCCCATGGGAGCTGCATTCTGAGCAAGATATCTGGAGTGTGCTCCAGGGCCAAGTTCTCCCGTGACAGATGAGGGGATGGGGCTCTGAGATCACCCAGGCTGCTGCTACAATCACGGTGAGGCCTGTGTCTGGCAACTGGAATTGACCAGCATTTACAGCTAGCTCCAGCCTGCTAAACCAAGAAAACGAGGCAGGGCGGGCCTGACACATTTCCTTCAGGGGCTCAACAATGGCTAGAACCTCCCAGGAGAGCCTGGGCTTCCTTGAGCCATGTACCGTGGCAGCCCTGTGGCCGGCACAGGTGTGAGTCAGTCTTCTGAGATTACAAGGGGGTTGCTGGATGCTTCCTCCTCCGCCTGTCTTTTGTTTCCTAAATTCAGGGTGCTTTTGTCCGTCAAGCCCTTTGGAATGTGTGGCTCCAGCTTCCCCGGCTGCTTTTCACCCTAAGGACCAGGCATCCGCAGACTTCCAGAGACGACAGCATATAATTCCTGTAGGTGTCAGTCCTTTGAGACGCAGTTCTCCCAGAGCAAGCCCTGCTTCCTATAAGCAGCCACACTTGTCGCTCAGGCCCCGCTGGGTCCTGTCTTCTGTTGACATCAAGCAAGGCAGGGAGGAGCATGGACAATGGTGTCAGAGACACTCCCTTTTGAGCATTTGCCTCTACAGAACCTGGCCAGGGCCATGGGATGCCCTGTTTGGCCACCTGAGGCCTGAATCCATCGGGATCTGTAAGAAGCGACCACTGACATTGAGAATGGCACCAGCCACCTCCAGAAGGGGCAGGTCATCTGACTCACTGGCCGCACACTTCACCTGCGGAAGAAAGCCCAACGCTTACCCAGATGAAGAAAGAGGCATCTGTGCTAAATTAGGTGACCGAAGACCAAAGACCTTTTGACTTAAGACCAAAAAGCAGCCACAGGGCTCCCTTCCCTCCTGTCAAAATTGTTAAGGTGCAAAAGACACCCCCACCCACCAGCCTCTTCAATTCCAGGCAGAACCCAGCCCTGTGCCTGGCTGTCATCAAGGGCACCAGGCTGGTGTTTTGGCAACAAACCAGCTTTCAAAGTGACATCAAATTGCTGTGAATCACCGATCTGATTCAAATGAAGGCTTAGGTGGATTTAGAGATAGCTGATTGCCTCAGATTAGTGCACAATTGCCTCAGAAAGTCATTTACCTCTGGGAGTTTCAGGTACTAAACACTTAGAGTTTGCATTTAAACCCTAAACTGGGACAGGGGCAGCCATTGTTTTGCTGGCAGGACCCAGTGAAGGCTGACCCCTCGTACCTACGACTATTCTGTGATTGGTCCCTCCTCATCTCCCTGCCCCATCCCATCTAAGCCCGGTTCATTTTATTTCAAAGATGAAAACGACTCTCGAAGTTGTGATTTGGTCTCCCCGGTCACGCCCCTCATGAGTGGAGCCCCGTGTCCCCCGTATCTGTCTGTGTTCTTCACCAGGAGGTTTTTCCATTTTCTGTGACTTTTGTTGCTGCGAAGTTCTTCCTGGTCCTGGGTCCCAACTGACCACCTTCCAGCCCCAGTCATCCTGCAGGTCCTCATGGTGGAAGTCCACTCCCCTTCTCATGCCATGTTCCTTCACAGATGTGAACAGCTCTCTCTGTCCTGTCTTTTAAAGACCCAGACCCTGATCCCCTCCTACTACCAAACCATGGTTCTGGAACTCTTCATGTCTCATCCATCCTCCCTCTAGCTTTTCCTACTGGGGGCCTCCTTCTCAGAATGGAGCAGCTACATACACCAGGGGTGGATTCAATAATGTCACCTCCCTTGTTTCAGCCAGTAGACCTCTATTGATTTAGTCTAAAGTCACATTGGCCTTTTGGCAGCCTGTCCCTATGGTGACTCATAATGAGGTTCATTTGGAGTCAACCAAAACTCTTATGAAGGACACTGCCTGGACACATCCACCCCTGCCCCCAAGCAGGTAGCTGTTTTGTTGAGCTTCGGAGCAAAATGTCCGACTTTTACATTTGTCCCTGTTACATTTCTCTGTTTTAATCTGCCCCATCATTCCTATAGTTTTCTGTCATCTGGGAACCTGTTGCAAATGCCTTCTGTTGATTGATCCACATTATTGTTTACAGAGCAATTTTGTTATGGAATCACCTAACCATGTCAGCCTACAGCTTGCTTCCCTCTGCCTTGTTCAGAAAGGTCACAGAAGGCTGCTTGTTCACAGCTTTGCTGAAACATCTTAAAGTGTTGGGCCAGGAGAAGTGTTAGAGACCATCTGCTTCAAGCCCTTCATATTTCAGATGAAGAAATTGAGGCCAGGTGAGGTAAAGGGGCTGCTAAAAGATTATACAGTGATCTTGTCTGCAGTAGAGCCAAAGATCAGGACTCAGAGATTCCCATACCCAAGGACCCTTCGGTTATTTGCCCAGCAAGGAAACCACTGGTACACTGCATCCAGTCTGCTGGAAGATTCCAAAACAGAGGACAACAGAGCCCCTGCCCTTGGGAAGAAAGGCTAAGTGGGCCCTGAAAAGCAAGTAATCAACTGACGACTAGAGAAACAATGTGGTCCAGACATACAATGAAATACGGTCCAGCCATGAAAAGGAATGCAGCACTGACGCATGCTACAACGTGGGTGAACCTTGAAAAATTATGGTCAGTGAAATAAGCCAGTGGCAGAAGACCACATATTGCATGATTCCATTTAGAGGATTTGCCACAATAGGCAGATCCCTCCAAACACAGAAAGCACCTTCGTGGGTGCCAGGGTCTGGGGGGTAGAGGGACATGGGGAGTGACTGCTAATGGGTACAAGATTTCTTTTTGGAGTGACAAATGTTCTGGAATTAGACCATGATGATGGTTGCCCAACAATGTAACGCACTCAAAACCACTGAATTGTACACCTTAAAATGGTTAAAATGGTGAATTTTATGGCATGTGAATTATACCTTCATTTTTAACAACAACATCAGTCTGTCTTCCAGCTCACTCGTGGACAGTGGAGAAGGGAAACGAAGGAGGTCAAGAACAAACCCTTTCCTCTGCTCCCAGCTGAAGAGCTTTGCATACGGCGGGGAGGGCCTGGAGGGGCCACTCTCTGGGCAGCTGGGGGTTGCTTTTCCACCTACAGGGCCTGCCTGCCATGTCCTTCCTAGCGCATTCTGAGTGTCCCCTGGGCTGCGGTCCTGGGACCTCCCCCACTCTTCCGCCCTTCACCTGGAGCCGCGATGGGAACTGGGCCTCCCTGGGCTACTGCTCTGCCTTGGAAGGAAATGGGGGACACTTGCTTGGCTCTTCAGCACCCGTCCCGTGTTTCCGTGTTTGTGTGAAGGACAAAGGTCTTAGCGATCTCCTGCCAGGCTCAGATCCACTCCTCTACACGGCACGCCTTGCTCTGGCCAAGGCTCCATTCGGAGGAATTCGGGTGCGGCACAGCGTCAGGGTCCAGCGATAAGCAGTCACCTGGGGGGACCCCAGCTGGCCTCAGAGCGCGGGCAGGAAGAGGAGCCAGAAACTGGACAGCGATGGGGAGGGGGTTCCGATAAAGTATGCAGAAATCACCGTGGAGAAGAGAAGCGACTGGGGCTGTTTCAGAAAAAAAAAAAAATTAAATCCTCTGCCAGTTGGAAGCGCATTGCTTTCATGTCGGCCTGACTGATTCCCGCGTGGGCGTGCGGCTCTGGCTCTGGCGGCCTGCCAGGGAGCGTGGGTGGCGTTCCCAGAACAAAAGTTCAGGCTGCGCAAGAGTCACCTGCGGGAGAGCCCTGTCCCCGCCCACCAGGGACCGCTCCGCCCACCGCCCAGGGCAGTGAGCACAGCAGCCAGGTAGCCCTGCTGCCAGGGAGGGCAAACATGCACCGCGCACAACACACAGCACATACACACAACATACAACAGACAACACACACAACACATACAACACACACAACACATACAACACAAACACAACACATACACACAACACACACACAACAGACAACACACAACACATACGACACACACAACACATACACACAACACACAACACACACAACACATACAACACACACAACACATACACACAACACACACACAACAGACAACACACACAACATACAACACACACAACAGACAACACAAACACACAACACATACAACACACACAACACATACACACAACATACAACAGACAACACACAACACATACAACACAAACACATACAACACATACACACAACAGACAACACACGACACATCCAACACAAACACACAACAGACAACAAAAAGACACAACACATACAACACATACAACACAAACACACAACACATACACACAACAGACAACACACACAACACATACAACACAAACACAACACATACACACAACAGACAACACACAACACATACAACACACACAACACATACACACAACACACAACACAAACACATACAACACAACACAAACACACAACACATACACACAACAGACAACACACAACACATACAACACACACAACAGACAACACAAACAACATACAATACATACAACACACACAACTGACCACACACAATATACAACACACACTACAAACAGCACACAATATACTACACACAATACACAACACATATAACACAAAACACAACACACACACACTACAGACAACACAACATACAATATATAACACAACACACACTACAGACAATACAACAAACCATGCACACCACAAAACATACAACACACAAACCATACACAACATACACCACATACAACAACATACGCCACACACAACACACACAACACAGGAACCATACAACACACACAACATACAACACAAAAAACACATACCACACACCCCTCTCTCTCTCTCCCCATCTCTGTCTCTCCTCATGCGTTCTCGCCCATGGAGAATGTAAGTGAGAAGAGCTGTTTGCATCGTGGAGCCAATGAGGCATCCATAAAGAAGAAGGACCGCGGGAGCCCACTCTCTACCAGAAGGGCCAGAGCTCAGGGAGCGCCACTGTTAGCAAGATGGGAGCCAGCTTTCACAGAGCACTGTGTGTCTTCAAAGAACTTCACCAGCATTGACTCATTAAGCCGCCCACACCTCTGAGGCAGCTGGGGCGGCAGCTTGGTTCTCCCTGTCAGAGAGGAGAGGTCAACGCTCACCTCAGGGCACAGGGCAAATTCAAGGAGGGGCGAGGGCCACTGTGTCCCAGATGACCCAGCCAAGGAACCTGCTTCTGTCTCAGGGAAGATGTCAAGTGAGGTCGGAAGTCAAGGACCAGCTCTCCAGATGCTGAAGGGTTAAGGAAGGAGGAAGAGAGGGTGGGTGGCTGGTGGCATCATGTTACCTTCTGCCTGTCACCCAGAGAGCCAAGCTGAACAGGCAGCAGGCGTGCTTGCGAGGAAGGGTGGGTCCAGCCTTCCTGGGGCAGCAGCCCCTCCACCCTCTTTTTCCTGTGCTGACAGAGAAGGGAGAAGGGGTCTCAGAGAGGCCCTTGGACCGAGTTCCTTCATTCCTCCCTTCTAGGAGTGATGCGTTTTTACAATATCAACAGTCCTCACTCCCAGGCAAGATCTCTGTAATGCATCACACGGATGAATCCTTCTGTATCTCAAAGTTCACACACAGTATGAACTCACCAGCCAACAGGGAGCTTGTTTTTATGCTAATGGAATGGCAAAGGGAAAGTTCTTCCCAAATGAATGAGCTTTGATGTCCTGTATTTCTATATGTGTATGTGTGTGTGTACACATATGTATACACATGCATATACATATTTATATATTATATATTTTTATATATATATCTATTTCCTCCCAAAAAAATGGCTGGTCCGGAGCTGAATCTCTTTCCTCCTCAAACCCCTATTTGGAAGCAGGCATTCCTCCCATGGTGAAAGGGCTCACATACAGCACAGCTTGGTTTCTGAAAGCTTGGCCTTTAGAACTAGAAAGATTTGCTTCACTCATTGTCTGAATGTGGAGAAGAACCTGACTCTTAGAGGCAGCTTTCTCTGACCCCATCGCTGCCTGGGATCCCAACACCTAGGAAGAGGTTTAAAAGAGGAACTGTCCAACCCAAAGCCAAGGGCAACACAGACCAGCCTGACTTCTTCACTCATAGCTTGAGCAAGCTGCTCGTCTCGGTGATTATTTGGACACATGCTACGAGCACAGAGACATACCCTCACCTTTTGTTTTCAGGGATTAAAGAGAAGATTTTAAAAATCTGAAGCCAAAAAGACACAGAGAAACAGAAGCAGCTATAAGAAATACACCCTCGGAAGGGAACAACTTCAGAAGAGAGAACGAGCAGGACCCTCAACTTTGTCCTGAGCCCTTCATTGGAAAGCTTATCCATCTTCATTTTTCCTAAAACTGGGATTTGTAACTAAAACCATTTCCTAAATGCTGCTATGGACATTGTAGTACCAGGCACAAACTCAGGGTAGACATGTCGTTTTCAAGGACAGTTGAAGTGGGCGCATTGTATTTAGGTCAAGTGACTTAAATGCTAGGTTGGACGACTTAGGTGAACTCTTTATTGGCACAAGGTAAATGCACATTTTGCACAGCCAAGTCAATCTTGCATTCTTGTTAAAAGGTGTGAACTGGTATTTTTAATCAGTGGCAGCCGACTGTAGTATCAAGAGCCCAGGAGTTCAAATCTGCTTCTGTCATCTATCCACCAAAGGACCTCAGGCTGATTAACCCCTTCTAGACTCCTGTCCCCATCTCTAAACAAACAATAGTAATGGCAGCTCCCTGGTAGGTTTGCTGTAAAGATTAAATGAGATGCTGCTGCCAAACACTGAGCCACAGTAGGCATTCTCTTTGCCCTTGGATTTGTTTTTCCACAATACAATTCTATGTACCTTAGAAAAATCAAATGATGATCTGGTTACTTATTGAGCTAATTGAAGGCATGCCTATAAGGTTATTGAAATTTATGGGGTTTTTTGTTTGTTTTGTTTTATTGGTCTTTTAGTTAGAAATAAGGATTGATAAAAGAAAAAGGGGGAAGAGAGGGATGGAAGGAGAAAGGGAGAAGGATGGGAGGAAGGTAGGAAGAAAGGAAGGGAGGAAGAGAGGAAGGAAGGGAGGAAGAGAGGAAGGATGGGAGGGAGAGAGAAAGGATGGGAGGGAGGGAGAAAGGATGGGAGGGAGGGGAAGGGAGGAAAGAAAGAGGGAAGGAAGGAGGGAAGGAAGGAAGGAGGGAGGGAGGGAGGGAAGGAAGGAAGGAAGGAGGGAAGGAAGGAAAGAGGGAGGGAAGGAAGGAAGGAAAGGAAGGAAGGAAGAAAGGAAGGAGGGAGGGAAGGAAGGAGAGAAGGAAGGAGGGAGGGAGGAAGGATGGGAGGGAGGGAAGAAGGATGGGAGAAAGGGGAAGGAAGGAAGGAGGGAGGGAGGGAGGGAGGGAGGGAGGGAGGGAGGGAAGGAAGGAAGGAAGGAAGGAAGGAAGGAAGGAAGGAAGGAAGGAAG